TGATTTTATTTTTGTTTGTAGAGACGTTAGCACCGACCTAGTCTTACTTCAGACACCCAGGAAATCAGTGTGACTGCATCATCAGCAATGTCTGTCCACCAGGCGACAATTAATCTCCCTAATCGTCATGGCGATTAACTTTTGTACCGGCTTATAGGTGCTGGTAGTTTTTACTATTTCTGACGCTGCTTCTGCTTTTAACTTATGTGTATACTAAAGCATCAAGATATATTTTGCAGCAGACCAACTTTATAGGGGAATGTTAGCCATCTACTTTGATTTAAAGATGCTGCTGAGTAAAAAAAAAACAAAAAAAACTGCACTTTTCCTTGTGGACGTAAATTTGCAGCTATGAATAATTTATCCTGTTATCGTAGGAAGAGCATTAACATCTGACTGTCTTCTTTAGCTGATTTTAACGTAACTAGAGGTAATTATCAGAATATCATTTAGACGACAGAGGAAATAAAAATGGGTATTTAGTATCCAAGCTGAATCTAAATCTGACCACCGTGCCGAATGGCAGCAACGTTCTTCCATAATGATAAATAAGAGTTGGATTAATCAACAAGCAAATCACAGTTTCATTACATGCCACACAAAAGGCATTGAAGTGAATGAGTCTTTATCAGTGAAATTAGCGTTTCGGCACAGCAAGTTCAAATAATGGTTTTAATGGATAATTGAGTCGCAAGTTGATTCTGAAGCAGTGGTGCACAATTGCAGCATACACTACCTGCTCAGAGTTGTCATTATCACGCTGTGGATTTATTTATTTTTTTTGGTCATGTCTAAAAACATCTAGTTGGTAGTCAAATTATTAATGTTACTTTGTTAAATGTGTCGCAAGGTGACGCTGGTATTATTCCGTTACAAGGGCGCCTTACGATGTCATCGAGGTGCATAAGCAAGAGAAAGCAGCGGAGTGGGTTTTTTTTTTTTTTTTCATGTGGGAAAAGCGCTGAAGATGTGGTCAGCAGTGCTGTTCAGTCTCCATCTCAAAGCATTTCATTCATACGCACTCCCATTATCTCTTTTCGCCCCGCAGTTTCTCCTCCATAACAATTATCATCTGCGTAAAAAAAAATCTATTATCATCTACGGATCCTCAATTAAAACTTATTTAAAATGTGTCCTTTTCTGTAAATCTCCCACTGCTGGCTTCGATTAAACTTCCTCTCTACAACTTTCTCCCCCCGGCAGCTATTAAATCTACTTTCACATGGCAGCTTAGTGCCTCTTACAATGCCAAAAACAAAGGGTACCCTAGCAAAGCTCTGAATATCAAAGTGTCCTTTAAGGAAGGGAATTTATGGCACGGCAGCCAAGGATTTGCAGGGCATGTCCTGTTTACTTCATGAAGGACTTGTTTAATGCCTCTAAATCATGAATAATAATTCTTATGATGTAGCCCTCCCCTTGGCCCTCTGTCACAGCCCGAATCTCTGCTATTGCTGGCCACATAATACAGAGAGAGGAAAACGGGAGACAGATTAAATAGAGATTTATTCATGAAGAGGGATTTTTTTTTTCTTACTTCTTGTTCAAAATTTGTAAGATTTTCAACACTGAGTTTTGTTGTGGTAAAGAATGCGTTTTGTTTTTTACTTGGGTAATATTTCCTGATATTAACATTTGTTTGACTGTTTAATGTTTAAAAAGCAAAAAAAAAAAAAAAAACAGAAGAAATCTGTGGAGGAGCAAATAGTTTTTAACCCTTTCATGCATAGCGGTCACTACAGTGGACAGCTATCTAAAAGCCATTTTCTTGTGCTTCTTGTGGATTTTTATGTTAGAAATACACACAGGCCACTGAAGTGGACACTAATGCATCATAAAATACACTATCGACTACTGGCCATCAGCTGAAAATGCAAGAAATTATTTTTGTCAAATCCAATATGGCCGACAGACAAAAAAGCATGGCAACCGACCCGATCACTCCTTCAACTGTATACGACTCGTGCAGGTAAAAAAACAATATTGTGCCATCAGATAACCCCTAAAGAACAACACTACTGATGTATTTTTCAAATAACAACTTTGTATTTGGAGAAAATTACAACTGATCACCTAAAAAAATTAATTAAAAAAAATCTTATTAAAAAAACATTTAGCTGTTGAACGAACAAACAGGTCGAATTAACCGTAGAAAATAAGACTGGTTAGTGATTGGTCCAGGAGTCAAAATTTAGACGTCACAGCTTGAAGTTTTTCTTTGGGCAAGAAACTGTGATGGGGAAAAAAAAAAAAAATCACTAGATATGACTGAAAAAGCATGTGGTACAGAATGAAAACCGAGCCTGAGATGAAAAACACTGGTAGTCCAGTGTTGTCACAGTGGTGTTTAAAGATTCCCCCCCTCCATCTCCTGTGATCTCTGGAAATAGGCATGCGACGCCTCTCAGTACATCCATCCCTCTTTCAGGCTTTTTTTCTTTTTCTCCTTTCTCTTTTAAGGGTGACTATCTCCAGAATGAGCAGCCAACAGCAGCATTGCCTCTTTTTGTCTCTTTTCTTCCAAAGATCAAAACAAAAATGTGTTTAAGGTGCATGCATATTTGAACCTGTGTGCTGTTTTCAGAACAGGAGAGTGCCTGAGCATTCTTAATGGCTCATAAGGTGATGGGAAAGAGAGAACGTTCAAAGTACAGACACAAATTGCTTTGCTTACCTCGGAAAGCGTGGTAAGTAAGGCTGGTGGGACCAAAGTTTATGTTCCAATAAGTAAAGCCACGCTCACGTTCAGCGCTTTCTGACCAGCTTTGAACTCATTGTCCATCTGACTAAATATTTAAAGCTCCAACATAAATCTGAAGGCAAGTCTCTTAACACATCATGGAAGACGCTCCAGATATTCATAAAGTGGCAAATATTACCTCAGGAAATCTTACATTACTCTTTGACTAATGGCTCTTTATGAAGTACGATTAAAATTATTAAATAAACTGAGTGTTCTCATTATGTCCACTTTGTCGGTTTTGGTGTCTCGTCTCAAATTTCCACACAATCTTGTATCTGCAGCACTTGGAGTGCTTGGTACCGCGGGCTTCAGCTCCACCTCCCCCAAAATGTTGCTGCATTAAGCAGTGACTCTCCGAGCCTCCAAAGAGCAGACGTCCAGGTTCTGAATTATCATAACTGGCTGGTTTTGAAATGCCTCAGAGGAGTCCAAGCAGTTTGGAGGGCAGCCGGGGTTCACATGCATGTTTCATTCGCTTTGCATGATACAGGTGACAGGTGCTGGTGCAGAAAACGGAACGGACACCTCGGTAGGAGAGTCCACCTTAAGGGACTCCCGTCGCTGGTGTATGCTTTATTCTGTGGGGTGTGCTTGCATAGGCGAGGGCCATCATATGTAAACGTTTCAACCTCTGTGTGTTTTTGTGGATGCTTTGTATTCTTTGTGTGTGTGTGTGTGTGTGTGTGTGTGTGCGTTTTGACGATTATACCCTATGACAGAATGATCACACCCATCTCCCCACAGCTCCAGGGAGGCTCTCCTCTCTCCTCTCTCCTCTTCTCCCTCCTTCCATCCCTCAAAGGAGCTGTGTGCTTCCACATATGTCAAATCCTGTTTCCCTGTGGGCAGCAACACTCTGCTGCATCTTTTTCTGTCTCCTCTCTCTCTCTCTCTCTTTCTCCCTCTGCCTGCACCCCTTGGAATCTCAGGAGTATTTTCAACACTAAACAACTAAACCAACAAATTATGTGCAAAGAACATACGGAGCACCATGACGTGACAACATTAGGCCAAACTGTCCGTCTGGCCCACTTTCGACTTTTCTGGCTGCCTTCAGGGATGCTGCTGCTGTGTGCCCCTGCTCCACCATGGCAATATTTGATTTTATTAATAATGATATGCCTATTTGTGATTGTTTGAGCTTAGATATGTTCTGAAACCATGCTCCAAGCAGAATCCTCTCTCACACAACCATTTTACACATGATCAGATTACATATGTGCTCATTTATGTATGTTTGACACCTTTTATTGTTGTTTATTTACAACTTCCATAAGATTGTACTAGGTTTGTTTTTGTTTTTGTTTTTTTTTTGCTAGATGAGGTGAGGAACAAACAGATGGGATCATCCTCTCCAGTAATGCAGGTGTGCTCCTCTGCTAGGTCAGAGTGATAAAATGAAATCACAGATACAAACCTTTGAAATGCAGCTCCTCTGTTAGGATAGACAACAGTTTGCAAGCCGAGTCAGGCGTCGTAAGGACTGATGTGTCCTGTTATGCTGCCCCTTCAGGAACACAAGACTCACTGCAGCTGTCATTTTAAATAGCAGACTTATTACAGACAAGAAACTGTGTGCAGCAAACAAAAGCTAGGCAAAAAATGTATTAATTAATTTTCAGACTGTACCAATGTCCAAGTTTTGTGATATTTTTCTGTCCTTGTGTCCTTCCTTACTAATTCAAATTCTTCTGTTTCACATTTCTTGTGCCATTCATTTCATCCCCCGCCTCTTCTTTATGTTCCTAACTTTTTTCTTTCTGAATTTTTATTTTTCTTCATTTCTGTTTTTTTTTTTTTTTTTTTTTTTGCCACTCCTTCTTTCTCTCATCGTGTCAACTCTTCCTCGATGACCGCCTGGTTGTCAGCAGAGTTCAGCTGGCTTATTTAGGGCATCAGACTTTTTCTAATGCAAAAAAGACCAATCGCATTCAGTGAGATGTAGCTGAATCAATCCCATTTTGCTTACCCTTTATGACAAAAAATATCTGGTATGAGTGGAAAAGTGGAAAAATTGCATATATGTTGTTTGCCAGCTAAGAAAAAACAAACAAACATCAGATTAAAGAAGAGATTTGTTGCAAAAAACAATAAAGGGTTTGATTATAAACTGTGTGAAGCCTGAAAATTAATTATGTTTTACACCTGCAGCCAACAATAGAGACAGAAGCTGATTAGTTCCTAGATTGTACCAATTGCTTTATTTGTATATTTTAAAAACATATCTGTGAAACAGCTAAATACAATATATTTTTAATTTATTTTTTATTTATTTAGCTCTTAAATATCCCAATAAACATAATGTGTTCAACAATAAACGCTCGGGTAAATGTTAAGTCGCCCTAGAAACAAATTTCCCCAACATAGTCCTTACATTAGTAAGCCAATAGTCTGTTAACATCTCAAACTACTAACTATATTCAATTTCAGTTCTAATGACTCAGAAAAGGCAAATGAACATCACATTAAAACTTTGGTGGTGTCAAATTCTTCGTGTTGCGTCTGCTTGTGATGAATTGACTAAAATCACTATAATGATTAATTAAAATGAACATGAGAAAAGATCTGAAAGCAGCGGCTTTGCTAGTGGTTCTGTTCGCTCAAACAGAGGCATGGCAGACTGCCTTGGACACATTTTGCGTGCGGGCCTTTGTGGAACTCGATAAGCGAGCTTTGGTTGACTTACTGAGCAGCCTCGTATTGGCTGCCGCCTCGGACCAGGAGTCCTATCTTTAATAGCTTTCTCTTCCCCTTCCTATCTGGACTCGTGTTGACTGTGCCCTACATAACTCCATCCAATCAAGGCTTCTGTTGACTGTGTACCACACGTGGCCAGGTACACAAAGTCAAGGCAGAAACTCTGATAAAGGTCTGTTTGCCTGATGCTCTTTCTGCTAGAACTTGTTGGTGTTCCTGTTGGACCGAGGAAAAAAAAAAAGAGAGAAAAAGTCCTCGTTTCCAGATTATGTTCGCTGATCGAATTCTCTTTCCCCATCGTGGACCTCCTACCTTGCGCAACGGCTCCTGATTGCAGCATGCCCGCTGAGCTGAAATTGATTTATTGCTAGGTTTCACCACCCTGATACCCCCTCTGGCATTTGTTTGGTACATGCCAAGTTAAAGTTGATCCATATCTAAACCAGCCAATACCCCCAACCTCTGTGCTCTTGTGATCTCATTGTCCACATTGATCTGTCTTTCGGTGTACAAAAGGGAACACTGTGAGGACTGTCTAATTGCACACATCCCTGTTCCTGGATGGGAGACATGGAGACGTGAAAACATTGCGTTTCTTGGAGTTATCATACAGAGTTGAAATCTAAAAAAAAAGAACAAACAAGAACATTTATCTTCAGGAGCCTTTTTTTTTTCTCCTTAGCCTGGCCTTAAATCCTTTCAAACACAACAGTATATCTGCCTTTGAGATCTCTGTGAAGATCTTTTTTTCTTTTTGTGGATTGTGTTTCCAAGAGACGGTCCGGGGATTTCTTGCAGGAAAGAAACAACGTTCTGTGAAAGGGATGAAATGGAAAGTTTAAAAGTATAATAAGAGAAAGTTATAGCCACACTGGAAGAAAGGATGATGCCAAATGCAGGGAGGCAAGGAAAGAGTCATCCTTTCTTTTTCCACCTGGCCAGATGAAGGAATTAATTCCTCTAATCTTTGGAAATTCCTAAAACTGCCAATGAAAAGGAGACAAATAATGGTTGTTTGTTGTGTTTTTTTTCTGGAAACAGACTTTGGTCCACTTATATCATTGGTCTTTCACTATTTCTATAATTAGAAAGGCACATTTGTAGAGTCTCACTGCTGAAATATGAGCTTTTTTTTTTTTCTTTTTTTTTCTTTAAATCTCCAACCTGAAGCTCTTGTTTTATTTGAAAGCCAAACTGATTGCAAAGAGCCTCACTCGTTAGCAGTATAATCATTCTGGGCTGTTCGTCTAAAGCCCAAAGAAAAACTTTTTAAAGATTTGGAGCTTTTATGGTTTGACACAACCTAATCCTTATGAGCTCTTTGTGTCAGTCTTGAAAAGAACCTTCCACATAACTCATACTATTTCTCATACTGTAAGGATGAAAAAAATTGAGCAATGGATTTGAGAGACATGTAGGTTCAGGTGAAAAAAATAAAAATTCAACATACCTACTTGCTGTGAAACAAAATCCTAATTATTTAAGAAAATGCAACTGGAATTCTTTTCTTCTTAATGAAGACAACTCAAAAAGCTTCTTTACTTCTTGCTGATCTTGGTTAAAAGTAAAAGGCATTAAGTTATTTTCAGAGCAATTGCTCTAATAGGGCCATTAAGGTCACTAATGAGGCATTTAGGACACATTGCTTCCATTATCGGTTACTTGACTAGGTTTCTTCATACCATGTCTAGTGATGAAGAAACCTTTGGGGGGTTTATTTTTCTGCATCATAGTAAGTCCAAACATATATACCTACACAAAAGAAAAAGGTTATGTGAAGAAAATTAGCTTTAGAATGGAATAATCTAAAATAGAGAACTTTTTCAAGGTAAAGCAGGGCTACAGAATGGAAATTTGACAACATTTCAATAAAGTTTTTTTTATTAATTTTCATTCTTTTGTTGTTAGTGAGTCTAATTAACATTTAATCATTTATTTTAGAATCAAATTTGACTTTTAGATTTCAACACAACCATTGAATTGCTTTTTATTATTATTTGCTGATACTAAAATGTATTTTGAGCACAGATAAAGAGAGTCCAAATGCCACCAATAGTATCTGTTAGACTACAGATTGAAAACCTTGGATTTAGACCCATGTGTAGCATATATCCATCATCATTTTTACATATGGCTGCAAAACAAAAATTTAAAGAATTATTTAACCAAAATGCCCAACCTGAGAACATTGTAAAGGAAAACTCAACCAAGGTTATAAAGTAATAACAAAAGGGAAGCATTTAAATGCAGAAATAAAATCGAAAGATCAGCAGTCTCTTGTGTTTCAGATTGTTGGGAATTTTCAGGCTTGTTTGTTTTGCACTGTGACCGTTCAGATTCAAAAGGCCTCAATGTTAAGGAAGGAGATGAAATTGGGTCCCGGGTGTCTGACTGACAGCTACGTTGATACGTCATTGTTGCTCTGTCAAAATAAAAATATTTACTAAAAAATCTGTTGTTACAAACTGACCTTAAGGAAACGATCTTTGACTGCTGCATTTCTCTAAGTGATGAATACAAACTTTTTTATATATAAAAATTCAGAATGAGATGCCCTTCTATCCTTATGTCTGCCCTGCATCCATCCATCACCTCCAGCCTTTCTTTTACATTTTTTTTTCCTCGAGGCTAATTGTGATTGGCTGATTAAAATAATTACTGAGATAACAGAAACCAATCAACTACGGATGTCGGTGTCGTGTAGATATGTTCTCTGAAAATGTGTGTTACTTCCCCTCAAATACTGAGCTCTAAAATTAACTAGTACACAAATAAAAGCCGTTTCATATTTGAATGTGCAAATATCCAACAAGCAAAAATGAAAAGTAGCAAAAATTAAGATAAACTGCAATCTTCTTAATGGAATTTTTAGTCAAATTCAGAATGTGGTGCAAAAATTTGATCTTTTATAATTTTTTTAAGTAATAATCAGCTGTCAGCTGCACCAAACTGTCTCTTTTTCTCCTTTTCTCTGAGTTTGTTCTTCCTCCTGAAGCATATTTAAAAATGTTTCTTTTTTTTTTACATTTAGTTCAGAGTTATTATACCACTTTTCTTCTCGCTGCTTCTTCCTGTTTTTCCAACACATTTGGTGGACCAGGGAGGTCCAGGACGCCCAGATGTTTGCTGAACTGGAAGCCTTTGTTGGCAGCGTCTACGAGCCTATCACAAAGGAAAACAAACATGAAGCATAAAAATAAGCATGCAGTTTAACTTTTAGATCCTCTCCCTGCTTGTTTTCTGCAGCCTGCCTCATTCAACATAATCTCTGTCAGTTTTTTTTCCCACAGGACACTACAGCAAGAGTTATCATTTTTTCCACCTAAAATCATATTATCTAGGTTAGATTTTAGTTTGTTGGCCAAACTTCTTTTTAAAATCAACAGTATTTAGTCTATAGTGCCTTGAAAAGGCATTCATATCCATTGTTTCTCATGTTGACATTTGCTACCTGAAATTCTGGTCTCTACTGAAGAGTGGCTTGAAGGAAGTGACTATTAAAAGAAGTTTGTTACTAGGTGCAAGAGAAAATATATGAAAGAGCCTCTTCTGGTAAGATGAGACCACAATTGACCTTTCTGGCCAACATTGAAAATGATATGAACAAAAGCTGTGCATGTCACCACAAATACACCAATCCCTCTGCTGAGACAGGGTGCAGAAAGTATCATGCTGTGGGGACATCTTCTTTGTTTCTGATTGCGAACTGGTTATTGTGTTGGTGAACAATGGTAATAAGCTAATTTTATCTGTGTGAACTGAATTTATGATCTCTTCTACAGTGAACTTGCACAACCCTGTTCTTGAAACCATAAGGCCAAACTGAAGTCCAGCATCAGAACAATAGACCACAAACGATATGTTCCTAAATATACTCCGTTAGTCTACTCTTGATAGTTTTTCTCTTTTTCACAAACCCACATTAAGCTCCAAAGTCCTGTGAAAGGTGCTTGGTGGCAGCGATCTCCTCTCTCAGTGATTACGCTATATTCTGAACTCATCTTTCATTTATTTTTGCGCTGGCCCACTTTTTTTTTTCTTTTTTTTTTTTTTAGTACTATAAAAAATGCAATGACAGAGCTCATTGGCTGGAGGGTTAGAGCAAACTGCAGAAGCAGAAAGACAGCGGAAAGAAGGAGGAATATTGTAAGAGGCAGAATCCATTTGGAGCACTTAGTCAGCCAAGAGTCCCCAACAACAAAATTGAAAAAGGGAAAATGACCAGCAGGCAGTGGCCACTGTGCCAACCCAAGCTCCCAGTGAAATGATGACAAAAAAAAATTGAAGAAAAGTGTATGAAATATCAGCGTTCATGTATCTGTGCACACCTGTTTACTGTAGCCTGCTGTGAAGCCGACTCCGTTCACTCCTTAAACATAATCCAGTTTTGTCACCGTCTCCTTTTAATCAGTTGTTCTACATAAAGAGGTAAATCAAAATTTGTCAAAGCATTTTTTTTTCAATGACAGCGCTTTTGAGGTTTGAAGACATATATTACAGTGCAACATGGAAAGACTGGAGCCACTGCGTCAGCCTCATCACTTCTTTTTGAGAAATACTTTTTTATTATCAACTCTATTAGGCAAGTCTAAATATCTAAGACTAGAACTCTAACTCTCAGAAATCAGTTCTAATCTAAAAATGCACAGCAAATACATCTTTTTTTTTTAAGAGCCAGAAAACGACTTGGTGAGCAGCAATACAACTGTGGCACAAAGCTTACGTCTTGTCTATATTCTTAGGATTTCTTTTTATTGTGTTTTCTCATTTTCCACCATATTTCTCTCAAAATATCATCATAATTTTTAATGGAACGATAAGAAAAAGGCAGAAAGACATTTTGTTTTTATCCACAACTAGCACCCTGTTTTTGATTAATAGAACCAGACGTTTCTGATGTAATACACAGTGCAAATAAAGAAGCTGGTGGACTTAATGGCGAAACAGATTTTTCTCAACCACTGACAAGGAAAATAAATCTGCACAAATCCTGTGCACTCTTTTAAGATGGATAACGACAAGCATCTTTTACAGCTGACTCCTCATCTGCTGTGTGTTTGGGCAAAAGAAAACTACTTTGTTTTCAGCCAACAGAGCTAATCCTGCTCACGGTAAAATAGGAGGCTGGTAAGCATAACTCTGCTCTTTTTAGCTGCAGCTCTCAGCTTATCAGGCTGGATAAAGGCCAGCAACAGCACATTATGGCTCAAAAGGTCCAAAGAGCAAGCTGCACACAGCTGCAAGCATATCCTCACTGTAAGCCTGCACTCAGATGCGGAGACAGACAGAGAGACCCAGACAATCACCAGACCCTGGCATTAGGGTTGCCACCCGTCCCTTAAAATACAGAATCCTCCCATATTGAACCGATACAGGATGTGAGTTGTTCCGTATTTATATAAATGTCCGATAGACTCGCCTATCACACATATATCAAGACTAATTGTAACAATAATAACCAAAATAGGTCAGCTAAATTATCGTGGTGTGAGCTCAAGGACCCCCAGAACGCTACGGACCGATGTTCTTTTAGTTGCCTAGAGACGGACTCTACGCAGCCGTGGTGAGCTGCTATCTACCGCGTCTTTTTAAAACATCCTCAACCCGATTCTCCACCATCCTTAGAACCAAAACCTCTCGTAAAGATACGGACATAAGAGGGAAGACTCAAATTCCAGGCTGAATAATGTTAGTGAAGATGAATACAGGCAATTAAAACAAATGTGCAGTGCTTTAAATGCACTGCACTGAGACATTTTCGTAAATTAACGTTGTTACCGGAGTTGCCATTGCTATACTACATGACTAAGGTGTGGCTAGCAATTTCTGAATAATCGGGCCATCCAGATAATTCCTTACATTTATGTCAATTCTGTGACGTCAACAATGAGTGTTGACGTCACAGAATTACAGAGTTTAATCCAATAGAAGACAACTTATGCAAATTACAACAGAAATTGCTGAACAACAGAGACATACATTCATTTACCTGAGACAAATGGAAAAGAAGAAGGAAGAAAGAAAGGAAAACAAAGACGTCTTTGGAGAATTGCAAGAGCAAATCTGATTTGTTACTCCTGTGTAGAAAGTTTTATAGTAAATGCGCATTCTTGTCTTTAATTTATTCAAATAAGGCTTGCTCATCCAACCAGAAACTGTCTCTGACCCTTCTTAAACTTCCTGCAAGTCATGGTCTAAGGCCATCTGTGCCATTTTGTTTAAATGAAGTGAGAGCAGAGACTCTCCTGAACTCCTGCTGTTTTATGGTTTTTCACAAATGAGTGTGAAAAGCTGGAACTTCTCCTGATTGTTTCCCACACAGATAAAGGACAGTTCAAAAGATCTTAGTAAACCATCTGCTGTAACTTCCGGTGAAATAAAGGTGAATAGGCCAGAATAAGTTATTAATTTTAAAACTATAATTAGGCTATTTCTGTGAAGACATGTTAAGTTTTAAAACTCTCCATCCATTTTCTTTACACCCTTGTCCTTTAGTGGGGTTGGGAGGGGTGCAGGTGTGTAATCACCCTGGGCAGGTCGCCAGTCTGTCGTAGGGCAACACAGAGACACACAGGACAAACAACCATGCACACACACACTCGCACCTAGGGGCAATATTGGAGAGGCCAATTAACTGGAGAAAACCCACACATGCACAGGGAGAACATGCAAACTGCAGAAACGTGCAGAAAGACAAGGGCTGGGAATTGAACCCAGAACCTTCTTGCTGCATGGCAACAGCTCTACCAACTGCGCCACTGTGCAGCCCAAGTTTTAAAACTAGCATATTTAAATTTATTTTCTTAACAGTGCCAATGCATTGTTTTTAATAACAGGTAATTCGATCTAAAAAAAAAAACATTTCACAAATTACACAATGCTTTATTGTCCTTAAAGCTCTTTAAAGTCATTGAAATGTCAAAAAAAATCACTCTTTGTGTAATCCAATATCAATTATTTAGTAATCATCTTCTGTATTTCTTTCACTCTGTAGACATTTAGTGATACACCATAGCTTTCTACAGGTTCCAACACAACATTCTACTAAAACGCCTGAGCTTTTCTTCTCTTTTCCAGTTGGTATATGTTGTTGGTTTTAGTATGTTGTACCACTGAGCCCACATTTGAAAACTGACTACTGAGATATAAAATTAATATATTTTAAATCTCAAATTACAGCAAAAATAGCCCTGATCAAGATTCCTCGACCACCGTACTTGACAAGATTGTGTGTAATATTCTCTACATATATGCTATTATGCAAATCTTGCTGCTATTGGTTTTGATCAAATGCCAGACTATTTGGTTGCTTTAATAAACGATTTCTATTTGGAACAATAGCAGTTTTATAAAAAAAAAAGAAAACTGCAATCTATCCAGAAGAGTTAATAAAATTTGTTGTTCAGAAAATGAAATTCAAAATAGATCAACATCAATAAGAAAATACGTATTGAACCAATGATGTCAACCCTTAACATGAATGGTTTAATAAACTGGATTTTACGGAAGCGCATTGCTATCATGCAGGAAAAAAAAAAAAATTCGATCGCTATCTCGTTATAACGAGNTTTTACTTTTTTTCTCTCTGTTATTTGATATTTATGGTAGTTTTTTTGCCTGTGTCTCACGGAGTTTACCTTAACTTATTTTATAATGTTCTGTTGTAAACTTTATGCTCTCTCTTCCTTTCAGATGATCATGGATTATGTAGAGCCCATTCTGTCTATTACTTCACAGATCTACACTCTAGTTGAGAAAGTTAAGGCCAATAAAAAGCGCTGCTGTCGTGTTCTGGAGCGAGTAAAAGCCTTGGAGGACTTGGTGAAGTCAATCAAACAGAGGAATGAAGTCAATCCCTCTGCTGAGGTGGAGACTTCCCTGAAGGGACTCTCCATCACTCTCAAATCAGCTCAGGAGCTCATTGAGAAATATACTTTGTCAAACTTGGTTAAGCGCATCCTGAAGTCCAGCAGTCATGGAGATGAATTCAACAGTGTGAATGAACGGCTCAATGATGCCTTCCAAAGCCTAGCGTTAGCTCTGCAGCTAGAACATGGAAATCAGTTGTTCAGGGTTTTTGAGCAGATCTCCAGGCAGAAGGAAGATGAAGCTGACAGCAGGGAAGATGATGCAGAATTAAAAAGAAGTAAGAAAAACT